GCACAGGATCCATGTTCTCTCTCCAATAAAGGACAAAACATTAACTACAGCATGAGAGAGAATACATGATTGGGAGAATGCGAACACAAGAATGAGAGCAAGAGAGAATGAGAGAGACAGAGCGAACAGAAAAAAAAGACAAACGAGAAGAGAGAAGAAATAGAGAAAATGCATGCCAGCAGCTAAACCTCGTCACCAATCTCTGATCTTTTGAATAAAAAAAATTTAAAGTAATTGAAGGGCTGGCCACAAGAAAGTCCTCTTTCTCAGATTCAAAAAGAAGAATGATTAGCACAAACTTTACTTCCTGCAGACAGAAGGAGAGATATTTTCCTGCTCTACAATCATCAACACTGGAAAATAGCTTCAGCTTGTCCTTACTCCAGATAAACTTGGATCTGGACTTCCATGCTTACAATTAATTAAATATAAGTTCTAGCTTATCACAGCACACTTTAAGCATCACCATAAAAAAAAACTGAGTAATTAGACCTGAGGTAGAAGATGCATTGGAAGTTTTTTCCTATAATTCCATTGCTGTTATCAAAGTTCAAACTAAGCTCCGTTTAATATTTCCTCAACCTATGACTAATTCTGAAACAGTACAGCATGAATGAAGAGTGAACTTTAGAAACCACCCAGTGCAGGACTCCATTTGCAGGCAAATTACAATGTACAAGAAAATGACAGTAATAACTCATGAAAGGCAAGTAAAAGAATAAAAGTGGAAATTCCAGAGCAGAGCTCAGTCTTCAACTTCATTTGTAATAATGTTTCCTGTTGTTGTATTCAAAGAGTAAGAGAATAGGTAGTACAAGTTCTCAGGTCATAATCTGAGTTTTCTTGGAACAGCCTTTTACCTCTCTAAACTGTACGATGGAAGAATAACTTTGGACCAAACCAAATAACATGTACAACACGCAGGGGGTAATATGTGCACAGTACAGTCAACAAGACAAGGGTCAGACGAGTTTTCTGGACTCAAACTTTACAATAAGAGCAGATACTCAGTCTGAGACAGTGTTCAAAATATTGAGAGATTTGTGTTGTATGAAAAAAGAATCCACATCCAATAAAGTTTCCTCCAGTTCTATGACTGTAAGGACAAGCCATGTTTATTCTGGAGAATTTCCACGGTGGCATCAAATGCACTGTGTGGGAATAAAAATAGAGAGAAAATATAATCAGTCATATAGTTTTTCAGCAACTTCTTCACAAACTGCAGAATTTCATTAAAAGATTTACTTTACTGAATCATCAATAAAGTTAAGTTGATTATCCACTACACAAAAGGACACTGCTGCACTGAGATTCAGTAAGCAAAGGGACAATTTAATTATGACAACTGTTTTAAAAAAAAAAGAGGAAATCAAGGACAGCTTTTTCTAAAATTGCAATGAGTTGTTCTCACCTGGCATGCATTACCTAAGAAGCAGTGAAAGCAGATTTAACAGCAAATTTTAGAAGAGATTTGGATACATAATTGAAATGGAAAAAAATCTGCAGGACACTAGGAATAAGCAGAGGAGTTAATCCAATTGGAAAGCTCCTACAAGGACTGGCAAAGGCACAAAGCATTGAATGGAGTTCTGAGTTCTATGATTCTACTGAAGAGAATTATCAACAAAAAGAAAAAAAAAGGGGGACGCTTACCAGCCAGGCCTGATGATGCTATATTTTCCAGGTGTGCCCAAGTTCACCACTGTTGATCCCAAACGACATTCTGGCTTTGTCATGTTGCCAATCGGTCCACCATCAACAACAAGACCCAACGAAGGCCAAAGGTCCTGAAATTCCTACACAAAGTCAGAAAAAAATCTGATCGTGTGAAACATTTTCTTTTCTGCTCATAAGTTTCATCACATACAATCAGACAAGGAGAATTATTGACATCAGTAACAAACAGGAATACAGGAGTGCATCACTGCAGTGCTGATACACATCCAAAGTCTGCAATTCAATTATAGTCTAGTCTGAAAGCAGCAAAATCTAACATGTGTTAATGGTAAAGAATTGGCAAAACTACCAGACTTAGTGACTGAATGGCCAATTACTTTCAGAGAAAACAAAAGACATTCTGATACAGCTGAAGTGCTCTTAGGAGGAAGTGACAATAATGGGAGCTTCACCTTGATTTTATTTGTTTATTGCCACGAGTACCTTATTACATAATAGTGAAAAGTGTTACCATCATTACAATATAAAACACTAGCATGGCCCCTGCTTGTGCAGTGTCCCCAATCCTGGGCACCAAACTTTGGTAAGATTGTAAAGACTTGAGAGGTCAGGAGAGGGATTTACTTGAATGGTGCCATGGTCGATGGATTATTCATAAGGTCAAAATGGTGTTGTCCTCTTTGGAGCAGAGAAGGTCAGAAGATTTGATAGGAGGTATTTAAAATCCTGAAGGGCTTTAAATAAAGAAAGCAAGTTTCTGGTGGCTGATGGATCAGTAAGGAGGGGGCACATATTCAAGGCGAGTTAAAGGCAACATGACAAAAATTTACACAAGTGGTTAATATTTGTATTACATTGTTTGATAGTGAGGTGAATACAGTTTCAACCTGTAGCTTCCAGAAGGAAATGAAATAAATGCTTGAAGGAAAAAATTACAGGAATAAAGGAGTAGAGCAAATAAAGTTAACTGGATCAGTTCTGACAAAGGAACAGTGGACTCAAAACATTAACTTTGCTTTCTCTCCACAGATGCTGCCAAACCTGCTAAGATTTTCCAGCAATTTTGCTTTTGTTTCTAAATTCCATCATCCACAGTTCTCTGCATTGCTAAAGAAAAACTGGATTGTTCTTTGGAAGAGCCAGCATACAGTCAATGTAACAAATGGCCTCCTCTTTACTGTTGTATATTTTAAATCAGAGGGCTGACACTGACACGGAACATCCAAACCGGCTTCATCCTTCATCCTATCCCCACCAATGCCAACGTTCTTCAATTTCACAAGGGGAGAACTTGGCTTGTGACTCAAAACCACCCATGACATGGACTAGAAAATTAGGTAATGGAAAATGTCACGACTAGGTGACAGAGTGACAGAAATATCTCACATTGAAAACTTCAAGCCCAATGTAGAATCCTACATGGAACTCAGTAGTAAAGTTGCTCGATAGGATTGCTGGAATCCTGCTTTCAATTAATTGGGGCAACTGTTAACAATGCATCTCAGCCATCAATAGATCTGTGCATGTTTGTTTCTATAGCAATCTAGAACTAGTAGAGTGAAAATTCAGTAACAGGAAAAATTAGGTCAGGAGACACCAGTAGACAAGGGAAACAAAATGTGTCTTGCAACAGACTCTTAAATAACTTCTTTACAATATTCAGATTATTGCAGGTAGTCAATACACACTAAAGAAGAGATCATTTAGCTCCTTGAAACTGGCCCACTATTCAAGTAGAACATAGCTTACCTCTGCCTTAGCTCTATACACCCACTTTGGGTTTATACAGTGAGTTTGTTCAACAAAAAAAATCTAGCAATTCAATTTCAAAATGTTCAACTAACCAAGCTGCAAATGCTTTTTGAAGGAAGTGAACTCCAAGTTTCTACTGCCCTTTATCATAGGAAATGTTCCCTGATTTCAGCCCTGGATTTTAAGTTTATACTGCCTTGTTCTACTCCTTCATTGAAAACAGTTTCTCTCACTCTATGTAAACACCTCATTTAGATCATCCCTTTACCTTCTAAACTAAAAATCACACACCAATTCTGTCGTCAATAATTATTTTCATGAATGTGTGCTCCAAGGTCAACTTGCTTAATACCAATTCATCGCAAAGTCCCCTTTTCCTGCAGTTTGAAAAGCACATAGATAAACATTTTTTTAAATTTAATTTCTTGTACACTATTACGTAAAATTCTTTCGCATTTTACTTCATAACTAGAAGAGAAAATATTTTTCTAACCATTCCTCAATACAGTTCTTCACAGGGCCTTCTCTGCCTCAATTCCAAATTAAAGGCATTGCCTGTTCACCTCCTTAATCACAAATTAGTTCAATATATTGCTTGGAACGCTTAAATCAGCTCTACGGGGCGAGTTTTTCCCATTTCTAACTACCTCACCCCTGCCCCACCATCAGAGTTATTCAATCAATCATTCAATCGGTGTCTTACAAATGTCTAATTTCTCAATGTCTTTTATAATCTCATACTTGTATCACTCAGTGCCTTGTGAAATTAATTAAGAGCTATGATTTCCTTCCAGCCACACTTGGTAGAAGTTGAAAGAACAAGTCAAACTCATCAATTAACAACCCATCTGCCACATTTAACACACACTTTATCACATTCTCTCAATGGAAAATGGTCAACTGAACAATAGTGGAAGGCTATCAGAAGCCAAGACGTAGTGAACGAAAGACACGGCTTTAAGAAACCAAGATGATAAATATTTATCAAAGTTAATAAAAAAGAACAGGCAGGACCTAATTTACCAATGCTCGTACCTACAAGCATAGTCCCACACAGGGCTGTATTAATATTAAACATCTGCCATGTAAATGTTTCCTCGTACTTACAGAGGTCACGTTATATTGTTTGGTATTGTATTCCGATTTGTGTACAAATCAGACTGCTAACGGACTCAAGCTGAAACCTGTTTGCAACATAGCAACTGCCCATAGTCCACTTGATAAAGTACACAAAACGAATTTAAGGTGACTTAGCCATGGTCACCATTAGTAAGGAATACCTACCTCAGTGGTCAGCGTGCTGGTCTGAGAGCTAAGGTTGGCACTCGTCAAAGCCAGAGGTTCATCACATACCTCTGCAAGCTTCTGAATAAATGGATGCTTTGGAATACGTATTCCCACCAACTGTAAGTAAAATAAATAAAACAGACACACAAACTTATTCAGCAGCAGTACAAGGTAACAGCAATCATTAGACCGAAGACCACAAGACATAGAAACAGAAGCAGTACATAGCAACATTTAAGAGGCATTTTGACAGACATGAACAGACAGGGAAGAGAGGGATATGCACCGTGTGCAAGCAGATGGGATTGGTTTAGAATGGCATCATGGTTGGCACAAATATGGTGAGCAGAAGGGCCTGATCCTGTGCTATACTGTTTTATGTTCTATGTAGGCCTTTCTGCCCATTGAGTTCTCTCTGCCATTCGATGACTGATTTAATAATTGTCCACTCCACTTTCCTGCCTTTTCCCTTGAGAAAATATCAAGAAACAGCCATTCTAAACAACGATTCCATTAATCTGATTTTAATTTGTGTTCACTGGTTCTCCAATAAACATACAGCAAAGCCACATGATCAAGCAAAACACAGATTATTCAATTCATTCTTACATCAGTGAAAGGATTCAAATCTTTGTTCAGTTCTTCTGACCGCTTGAAGACTAATGTTACAGGTCCTGGCAGGAGATCTCTTAATACCTGATCAGAAACAGTGACCTTACAATACCTGTAAAAAAAAAAGGCCTTAATCCATAAAATATCCACAGATTAGTATTTTCCATATGAAAGGCTAATTAATCTTTTATGATTATAAGAGATTTTACTAACAAAGGGCCAACAAGTAAACTTTTCTGATCAATTAACCCCATTCACCCACCCCTTCACCATTTTATCCAATTCCTTCTTTTCTTCATCACACCCCTCTCCAAATCATAGAAAATCATCTTAAATCCACTTAAATTATTGTTTTCCTTTTTAACTGATTCCCCTATTGCACAAAGTTTTGGGTGGAGAAATTCTACTCACTATCCATGCCTGCACCTAACAAGCAGCTTACATCCTTTGGCTCCTAGAACGCTTCCTCACACAGGCCTATTTGCTTGGATCAAATGTCCACTTATTTCATCATCTTGAAAACCTTTCCTAGGCCATCTTCCACATTGCTCCTTTCCAAAGAGCCTGATTTCCTCATGTCAGTATGAGAAATTAAATAGAATATTTAAGGAGGTATTGTGAATTACAAATAGGAATTAAAAGAACAGTCTGCAATCATACAGATTCACATACGAGTATAATGAAATATCAAGCAGTACTTTTACATATGACAAGGATCAAGAGTAGGCCACTTGGCTCTTTGATCTTGCATTCAGTAAGACTGTAGCCAATCTGATTTTAACTTCAGTTCTACATTCCTGCATTTCCTCAATAATCTTTCATCTTTTGGTAATCAAGGATCTATTTACCTCTGCCTTAAAAATATTGAAAGATTCTGCACCCACTGTCTTTTTAGGAATTCCAAAGACTCTCACTTTCAGAGAGGAAAAGAAGTCCTCATCTGTCTTGAATAGACACCCACTTACTTTTAAACTTTGACCCCTAGTTCTAGATTCTCCAACAACAGGAAACATCTTTTCAACACCCACCCAGTCAAGTCCCCACAGGAACATATATGTTTCAATTCAGTCACCTTCAACTCTTCTAACCCTAACCCTCTGTAGCCTTTTCTCACAAGGCAATCCATTCCAAGTATTAGTCTAGTAAATTGCTTCTACACATTAACATTCTTCCATAGGAACAGTGACCAGATGCAGTCTCACCAACACCCCATATAAGTGAAGCATAACTTCCTTACTCTTGCAATTCAACGCCCCAGCAATGAAACATAACATTCTATTAGCTTTTCTAATTACTTGCTGTTCCTGCATGCTAACCTTCTGTGATTCATGCATTAAGACACTCCGATCTCTCTGCAACCTCTCACCATTTTGATAATTTCCTTCCTTTTTAAATATTTTCAGCCTGCTAAAGTGGATAATTTCACACTTTTCCACATTATATTCCATGTGCTAGATCTTTGTCCACTCATTTAACCTATCAACTCCCCTTTGAAGGCTCATGTCCTCATCATAACTTCCTTTCCTACCTATCCTTGTCTCATCAGCAAATTTAGCTGTATCTTCAGTCCCTTCATCTAAATTATTTATAAATTAGAAAGTGTTGAGAAACCCCAGCACCGTACCATAGCATTCCACTCATGGCATTCTGCCAGCTTGAACTGGCCATCCTGCCACCCATTTATTCCTACTTTTTGTTTTCCTGTTAGCAAGCCAATCTTTTATCCATGCCAAGTTGTTACCCACACCCCCCAACACCTTGAGCTTTTTTTTTCCATAATAACCTTTTGCGTGATATCTTATTAATGCCTTCTGATATTGTTAGGTCCACTATGCTCTATACTTGCACTCACTTATAAATATCTTCCACATGACCAACACAAACTGCTAAAGGCTTATCCTCATTCCGTCCTTTGATTTCATAAATCCTTCGGATGGCTTCAGAATTCTGTGCAAGGCAGGTGATTCCATAGATGGTGTCTGTAGGAACTGCCACTACCTGACCACACTGGAGAACCTTTACAGCCTCTGTTAAGGCCTCTTTCCAATCTGGGGTAAAGAGAACAGTTGCATAGTGAGCCGTGGGTTCATCAAATGTTTCACTAGTGAAAACAAGTAAGTAATCATATGCATATTAAAAGGTGACATTCTCATGCAGTAGCATCTTAATCACCTCAAATGACTTGAAAGTCAAAGCCAGAACCCATCAGCCCAATGACAGAAAAGCAATACTCAGCATCCATGCAGAAGAGCAAATGAGAGGATCCATGATAGAACAGAGGCCTGGGAAGCTACATTAACAAAACATTTAATAGGCAACAGCCATAAAGAATGGTAACGGATATAGAAAAGAATACGTTATATCTAAATGAATTCCTACAAAAAAATTTGAATGTACAATGTAGGTACTAAAAGGCAATGCAAAGACCAATCCAGCAAATCAAAAAAAAGAAAACAAAATGGAAACAGTGGCTTTGATCTAAAGTCAGTGAAGTCACTGTTAAGTCCAAAGGGCTGGAGAAGAGAGAGTTGAGCTTACACTGGTCTTCACAACAAAACAGCAAAGAAGCCATAGAAAGAAAGATCAGCACGGAAGCAACGCAGAGAATCAAAAACGACAAGCCCCAAGAAGCTCAGAGTCATGCTTGTATACTAATCAGAAGTTTCATACAAATGAGGAATTGTAGGCACTCCAGCTCCTTAGGTCTGCTACATCATTTAAGATGATCATGACTGATCTGATTTCTCCACGTTGCTGTCTACCCCAACTAACCTTTCACCCCCTTGCTGATCAAGAATCTTTCTACTCTGCCTTAAAAAACTCTGCTTTCACCACTTTTTCAAGATGAAGGTTCCAAACCCAAAGGTTCATGATCATCTCAAATTTTTTCCTTAGTACTGTCTTAAACGTCCGATTAGTGTTAAACAAGGGCCCCCAGCTCTAGATTTCCCACACAGGAAACATTCCTTCCACTGCACCTCGTCAAGACCCCGTATGATTTTGTACGTTCCACTCAGTGACCTCTTACTTTTCTGAACTAGTGTTAAACCTAGTCTGTCTAACCTTTCCTCACAAGACAACCTGCTCATTCCAGGTACTAATCTAGTAAACTGCAATGACGTGATTCCACTTAAATCCTTAAGATGACCAATGTTATGCATATTAGTTCAGATTATGATCTCAGCAACATCACACAAAATTGAAGCATAACTACCCTACTTTTGTATTCAATTTCCCCTGCACTAAATGATAACAGTTTTCCTACTTACTTGCTGTACCAGCATACTAACGTTTTACAGTTCATGATCCCAAAATCAGATCCCAACAAGCAATGGATAATGGAATAATGGTTAATTAATATTTTTTGTGCTGAAGGAAGGTTTCTAGTAGATTTGCATTACCACATCAACCCTCTCATTAGCGAACGCCAAAGTATTCATTTAGAACCCTACCTACCTCATCTGGCTACATGCAGAAATTACCGCTGAGGTCCTTAATGGGGCTTCTTTCCACAGTTATTCTTTTACCCTTGATGTACTTAGAAAAGCTCAATGCACCTGTAAAATAACTAAAATAACTTTTCCTTGGAGAGGAGAAGGCCAAGAAGAATTTTGAGAGAAGTTTTCAAGATCATGAGGGGTCAGGACAGAGTAGATAGGAAGAAACCTTCTCATAAAAGGATCAAATACGCAAGGTCATAAACAAGGTTATTTGCAAAAGTAGCAAAAAGAAATCTTTATCACACAGAAATCGACTAGGAATGCACTGCCTGGAGGCAGATATTGCTTGTGCAGCACTGGAGTGTCAGTCTAGACACTTGTGCTCATGCTCTAGACTTGGAAACGCAAACCCAGATCTTGTGACTCAGAGGCAAGAGCCCTACCAACCTGAGACACAGTTTATCTTCCTGGCCTGTAGATTTAATATAGCTGACAACCTCATTCAACAGAATAGAGCCCTCTCAACCCTTGCCAAAAGCTTTCCAACTGGAGGAAAAGAAATATTAAGAGGAGATTCAGGAACAGTAAGGAAGTACAATTGATTGAAAAACATTCTACTGTATCCTGAAAATTTTAAACTTTAAGTATTTGCCAGTGCCACAAAAAGTCACCAAATCAGTCCTCCAATTTTCTAGACAGAACATGCAACCAATTTCTGAATTTATATCTATGCAATTAACATTCAGCAGGATTAATAAACAGAAAGCAAACAATTTAACAACAGGTAACATTTTCCAGTGAGGACCAGTCCATATTTCTGAGAAAAGCAGCTCTTAACCACATATACTAACAATGATGATAGGAAATGCAATTCTCCTACCATGTTCTGTCGTCATGGGTTTTGAAGCCCTCTTCAAAGCTCAGAATTAAATCTGAAAATAGCCCTCATGTTTGCACCTGCACCTTTGTCCCAGCTGATGTTTTTTCCAACATGGGGACCTAAGAGGAGCCAAAATGGGTCAGATCATTCTGCTTCAGTTGGGATCACTGTTGGGTAATTTCTTTTCCTATTACTAACTTGCGTGTATTGACCCAATGAGCTGTCAGGGAAGCCTAGGTTGTCCCTGTTAATATGTATCAACATTAAACCCTGATAAGCAGCCAGGAAAAGGAGTATTAAGTAACTGTGCAACCGTCAGAATGGTTGAAGGTAATGTGGGTGGACTGCACATTTGCAACTTTATAAAAGATTTGTGACATAAATAGGGAAATGGAAAAGCTCAGTCCAGAATATTACATTTAATTAAAAGGTCAACAACAGACCAAGATACATAAATAGCAAAGGCTATATTTTGAAGCGATATCAGCAAATTCTTCAAATAAACACATGGATTGGACCTCTGAATACAATCTAAATGGTTAAAAAAGTTGGAACTATTTCAGAAATTAAGTTCTGCATCTGGAGTATTTAGGATGTTGGTACAGATTTTTAAACAACCTGTTCAGACATTGCAGCTGGCCAACGTAACAGCTTCTGGCTCACAGGTAGGGACACTACCACCATGCCACAAGAACCCCAGAGTTCTGATGAAGAGTCATGGGACTCAAAATGTTAACTGTTTCTCTCTCAAAACACATGCTACCAGACTTGCTGAGTTTCTCCAGCATTTTCTGTTTTTGTTTCTGATTTACAGCACCCGCAGTGCTTTGTTTTCATTAACCTCAGGATCTTGGTGGATTGGGCAAAAGGTCTTCCTCAGCGACCTGTGTTTGCAATGGGAGCCAAACCAATCAGAAATAAAATTAAAAACCAAAAGAACTGCGGATGCTGTAAACCAGGAACAAAAACAAAGTTGCTGGAAAAGCTCAGCAGGTCTGGCAGCATCTGTGGAGAAGAAAACAAGAGTTAACGTTTCGGGTCCGGTGACCCTTCCTCAGAACTGGAATGAAATTGCTTCTAGACTGACGTGTTAACATAAAAGCAGAGAGATTGCTGTGTGAGAGAGATAGTAGGAACTGCAGATGCTGGAGAATCTGAGATAATAAGGTGTAGAACTGGATGAACACAGCAGGCCAAGCAGCATCAGAGGAGCAGAAAGGCTGATGTTTCGGGCCTAGACCCTTCATCAG